AAATTTTTTACTCCTTTCTGTCTTTTTATCGTGCTGTCAGCCTTCTGTATGAAAGCTGCTCTATAAATAAAGTTTGATTGATTGACTGAATGAATATTGATACTGATACAAACTAAAGAATGAAAATTAAAACAGGTTTAAAGCTGCGACAAGGAGGAAATTATGAACGTTAATTTTACTTGTGTCCTTCGCCAGGAAAAACTACCCATCAGCCCCAGCACAGACTGTCTCAGGACATACCTCTGAGTGTGTGTGGATGTGTGTGTCGTGAAGAGAGCGATCCTGACAACAATCTGGTTACCTGTCACCTTCAATCACGCCCCTCCTTAACATCTCTCCCAAAAGTGAGTCCAACATAGAGCTGTCAATCAACACACTCACACACACTTTCCCCCCCACGCCCACCCCCCCCCCCCAACACACCACACACACACAACAGCCAAGCGAACGACACAGAGCGAGGCCTATAGCATGGCTCTGTTAGAAATCCTGAGAAATCCAAGCACTGCTCAGCTACCACCATAAGTTTTACTTCGTATTACAAAATCTCTGTTTGCCTTGCGCTGATTAAACCAATATAACATGAGGATCGTAGAACGAGGTCCGGTTCCTCGATTATGCAACTAGTGCGGTTCTCTACAGGAGTATACTGTAGTATATGGCACATAGGAATGTATCAGACAGAGTCTGAATAAGCTAATACCAAAGTTTTATGTTGGGGGTAGGATCAAGTCTATCTGTTAATATTGTTTGAATCTCAACAAAAACCACGCCTAGATCCTGATGTCTATGAGGAGAGGTCATCTCGTCTCTATCTCTGAGGATGGCCTGGTCTGATAGGTTTTAAGAGACCCATGAACGCCCAAGCAGACAGCAGGAGTGGCCAGCTCTATGGACCCTCAGCTAACAACTCGCGCTGGAAGAGAGAGATTGAGAGACGTATAGCGGATTACTCCGGTCCAGTAGGGAATCGTAATATGTCTATGATAATCCGCATTTATCCAGGCTGCGCTCATGAAATCTAGTAGCCAGATGTAAAAAATGTATCAACACAATATGCATATGAGTCCACATAAGCTGTGTTATCTTGTGGCTGCCGGCACTCAACCAAAACAGACACCCGATCCCATCCACACCGACAAAGGGACTGTATCCTGCGACGGAGCGTGGTCGCGGTGAGAGAGAATACTAGCTAGTACGGCCTTGGCTAGCATGTGTATTGTAATGCTTTTCAAACAGAGTAATGTACCTGGTATGCAAAATCGCGAAGGCAAACACCGCAACAATAGTTAGGCAACTAACACACTATGTGTAAATGTGAGATAGCAACACTTGTGTAACTGCTATTATCAGTCTGGCTCGTGTCTATAGGTTCTTGTTGTCAGAAGCGATAAAAGACCCTCAGTCCTGTTGTCCTGTTTGTCTTGCGTCTACAATACCATCTCTTCTGGTCTACATGTTCTGTATTCTGGAGAGACGCATCCAAAGATGCTGCTCTTCGACCACGCGCGTCTGTCTGCCGAGACGGATAGCGAACCATCGTCTAAAGGACTAACGATGCATTCTCACCTGCACCACGATCACGACTACAATCACTGCGTCTGAACATGAAAGACTCAGTGTAGAGTTGATGATTCTCTAACAAGCGTTGGGATTTAGGTTCGATATTCAGCCCAGGGGTTGTAATGAGTCTGATTAACAGTTGAAACAAACGATTTTCATTTTCATCTTTTGTACCGATATGATTCATCGCTGTCTGTAGCTGTAAGATATCTCCGACCTCTCAGGTAGCAGAAATGTCTCTCTTTCTCTCTCCCTCTCTCTCTTCTCTCTTCTTCCTCTCTCTCTGAGCTTAAACAGGTCGCTGGACTCGCCAAATGAAGCTTTACTAGATCATTTATCTAAATAAAAGGAGAAAAATAATCAAATAGAATACATTTAATTAGTTAAGTATTTAATTCCAAATATAATAAGATTTCTATGTGGTCTTTTTATATAAACTACTTATTCACTTATTCACAGAAAATGCTATATCGTTATCGGGATATAAGATCATATCGCAGAGTCCTGTGGGCAGGAAGTGAAGAGCAGGATGAGACCCAGCCTTTGGGTTAGGACCCCATTTGTTAAATAATACATTATATAGACAGAGAAATGTATAAAAGTTCCATAAACAGGAAATAATCTGCTCAGAATTCCTCCAAATCTTCACCGTTAGAATATAATATGAAATATCCATAAAATATGTGTCAGTTTACTCAGTGATAGAAAAGGAAATTCCTGGTTTAAAAGATATCAGAGAGAAAGATAACAGCCAGTAACCATGCTGGATGTGATTCAGAGCAGCCATTTTCCAACTGAATTCAAAGACTTTCCATCGGGGAACTGAAGTCGTTATATCACTCTGTTCAAAGCCACCATTCCTCCGGTACTGCTCCCCTCAGAACAACGAGGAGTTGCTCCAGCACAGCCAAAGAGCCGGCAATCAGCTGGAAAGTAACTACAGCTGTAGTGGAGTAAAAAGTAGAATATTTACCTCTGAGGAGAGGAAAAGTTACATACAGTCCTTTTACATCAGGATGTGGGCTGCTGTGTGCCGCTGTGGCCTGTAGGAGGCGCTGTGGCCTGTAGGGGGCGCTGTGGTGTCGTACAGTGAGAAGCAGCCAGTGAGTGAGCAGCACTCTGACTGACTGAGTTTGACCTTTTCCATCCCAACGAGCTTCCACGGCGTCGTGGTGACGAGAGTTTATGAGGCAGAAAATGAGCCCATATGGCTGTGAGATCAGATCAGTGTCACCAACAACCAATCCAACAACACGTGTGACGGCCAGAGACAACAACAACAACAACACTGGCTGACTGCGGGCTGCAGCTGCACCGTGGCGGCGACCATCAACTGATGCGTGAGACTGCTTCCACACATACGACTCAACACACCGACTGTGTTACAGAAACAATACCAAGATGGTAAACGAACACAACGTGTGATATGTGTTGTTTACTTTCTGCCCATTTATACATAAACAAATATTATTAGTTTTGAGTTTTGTCCCTCTGCAGCCTCCGTATACGTGTATAAGAAACACACAGATGTTACATCCTAATACCTTCCTTCTCTCCCTTCCCTCTATCCTTCCTTCCTCCCTCCCCCTCCCTCTCTCCCTCCCTTACTCCCTTCCTTCCTTCTCTCCTTCCTTCCTTCCTCCCTCTCTCTCCCTCCTTCCTTCCCTCCATTCCTTCCTCCCTCTCTCCCTCCCTTCCTCCCTCTCTCTCCCTTCCTTCCTTCCTTCCTTCCTTCCTCCCTCCTTCCCTCCCTTCCTTCCTCCCTCTCTCTCCCTTCCTTCCTTCCTTCCTTCCTTCCTCCCTCCTTCCCTCTCTCCTTCCTCCCTTTCTCTCTTCTTTCCTTACTTCCCTCTCTCCCTCCCTCCTTCCTCCCTCTCTCCCTCCCTCCCCTCCCTCCCCCCTGCAGGGTGACCCGTGGTCAGTGTGACAGCAGAGAGACGTCAGTGCTGACTGTAAGTAACAGTGTGTGATGTAATACGCCTCCTCTCCCTCTAATCTGTGACATATAAGATTACAGATAATCTGCCATCTGACGTCACACAGGATCCACCACTACACTGCCATCAAGCTATCCGGATACGTATGGGAGCCTAAAGCTGCCAATATCACACTGAAATCTTTACTTTTCATATATTATATATATTTCTGCCAAATTAAGTGATAAATAATCCACAGAGTATTTATATCACTGTGCACATTCACCATCACAACCTGTAACAAAGAGTTACAGTGTGCACTAACACAACGTGGAGCCGAGCCTTTATATATATTTATATCCATATATTCTCTCTTTGGTCGCTCCAGGACTTCCGGTCTCTGAACCAGGTCCGACTTTTAGCTCTTCTGGTACTTTGAGTCTTTATTTTAATAAGGAAGTTTTTAGTTTTGTCAAATGTTTTTTAATTTTTTTATCTGTTTTATTGTTGCTTTATTTTAATTTCTTTGTTTTTTTTCTGTCATAGAAGAAATGTTTTGTCCCCCCATGAGGTGCTGTGGAAATATCACAGGAGGATGAAGAAGAAGATGTAGTTGAAAGCTCAGACGAAGAAGCAAAAAAGAGGACCTCGATTCTTCTGTTTCGTTGTCACACTTATGAAATATCACAGGACGATGTTTAAGAAGAAATGTGAGCGTTGATGTTCATTCAGATAAATCGCAGGTCACTCATTTCTTCCTGAGCTTTCAACCACATCACAAGGTCTTCATCAGCAGACGGACGTGGCTCATAAAGGGATCACAAGTTTAATACTGAGACAACGGGACGTCACTGATGAAGACTGGGAGAAGCAACTGAAAGCACCTCTAAACAGAGGAAGATAAATAAACAAGTAAGAGGACCTTGAGAACCAACGTTCCCCCGCAGTGGACGGAAACATCAGGACGAGATATAAGAAATATGAAATATGAGTTTCAATGTTCAATTTCTGACGAGAAAATAAATAAAACTCAAGGTCACTCTTTTTTTCTCCTGCGCTTTCAACCACTTCACACTGTCTTCATCAGCAGATTCAGTTTGCTCATCAAGTCCCTGTACCACCACTGAGGAAGACTGCGATCAGCGGTTGAAAGGTCAGACGAAAAAAGAAGACAAAGAAACAAGTAAGAGGACCTTGATTGATTGATTTATTTATTCAGTGAGTTATAACAGGAGCAAATACGGAAACACCAAAGGATCAAATCTCATTATTCCACTGGCACAAATGTGCTTCCGTACGGAGACTGTAGCAGTTACCTGTTGTGCCTTTAGGCCAGGCATCAATGTGACTGAATGAGCAGCACACACACACATGCACGCACACACACACACACACACACACACACGCACGCGCGCTAAATCCCTCACAAGGTCAACTTGGTGCGGCAGGTTTTCCGGTTCCTCGCCGTTGCAATGATCCCGGTGCTGTTTAACATTGAGTGAGAGTCACCGCCGTCCTTACCGTACACGCCCTGGCCGTGCGCGCCCTGCAGGAAGCCGGTGAACAGCCACAGGAGACCGAAAACTAAACCCATCTTCACATCCTCCTCGGGCCGCCTCGCTGCTGCTCTCCCCCCGGGGATGAGGTTGTCAGTTCGGTTCCCCGCAGCTGCTGCCGTCGCTGCTGCTGCTCCTCCCTCCTCCTCCTCCTCCGCTCCGGCCGGCGTCCCTCCGCACGGAATCCGGCCCGGTGACCGGTTCTCATCCAAGAAATCCCAATGCGTCTCCCACCAGCACCCCGCCGCCACCACCCCCCAATATCCCCGGTCAGATGTGACAGGAAGGTCCGGTTGAGCTCATACCGGAGCTGGAACCGTCAGAAACAGCTGCCGAGGAAGACGGTCACCGGAGGAAGAGCGGGAGCCTCAGCCGCGTCTCCTTGGTGGTGACATTGTGGGAAAAGATTCAAATCCAGAAAACAACCGGGATCCTCCGACCGGTGGGATGCTCACAAGTCCCCGCTGCCCCTCCGCCGAGTCCACCGGGCTCCTTGTCCGTCAGTCGGTACCGGAGTTACATCCATCATCCGGTGCAGAGGCGCTGTCCTCCGGTGCTCCGCGGCTCGTCCTTGCCGTCAGCGGCTCTTCGCGGCCCGTCAGGCCGGGGAGGAGAGGCGGAGAGGCGGAGAGTCGGCGCTCCGTGGTGCCGCTGTGAAGAAGAGGCAGAAGCGGTCAGTCCTCGGTGGATTTTACCGGTGAGAGACGTCACCGAGCGAACCGAGCGGTAAAGTCCGACACAGTGGACAGCGACTGCTTCCGGAAGGCGATTTCAAAATAAAACACCGTTACACAGTCAGGTTAATTATTAATGTTTTTGGGGCTGACCACCCAGTTTGGAGTCAGATTTAATTAAATGATATAGATGAATTAAAAACAGTTTAGACTCAGTGATCAGCTTCAAGATTTGGAAATAAAACAAGTTAGTGATTTCTATTTAGTGATTGTTATATTCACTGCTTTACCAATGTTCTATATATATAATATCTTATAGCCTAATATTTATAATCTATGATCTAATATTTATTTCAGGGCTTTTCCAAGCAAATATTGATTTGAGTGATAGTTTGGGATTAACTATTTCTGGTCCTCTATCCCCCTCCCTGTGTCCCACGACATAAAGTATAATGATATAATATATAATATAATCTGGCCCACAAGATTATTATTATTATTAATTAATGAAAAAAAATGATTAAAAAGTGTTGTTCGTCCCCAGTCTCCCCTGATGTAATGTCTGTGCTGTTTTTTAACTGTGTCATTTTAAAGGTTTTTCCAACTTCAATTTAATTAAATTATAATTATTTTTACTCAATCAACATGTTTTGACCCACATAAGCAAGAGTTAAAACTAAAAATGTAATAAAATGTTATCATGTAACTTTTTTTATATTGTGCCAAAACAAAAGTTAAAGAATAGTGAAAGTACAGATTCAACAACAATAAACAGGAATAAAATACAGTAAGACAAGAAGACAAATAAAGAATACAAAAGAGGACGTTCTTAATTTGACTTAAAAAGATGAATACATGTAATAATGATGCTGAGGTAATGTGGGATAATAATATGCTATATGACAATAATAATAATAATAAGGATAGTAATTAATCATGCTACCTATTAAACATACACAAACAGTGTTGGGAAGAGAGTTACTACATCATCCACTCTATCACCGCTGTCCAGGTTGTAGGCTTTTATTGTGAAGG